GCGTTAATCTTTTATTAGTCGAGTGAAAGATTAATGCGTAGTTTTAATCACGTGTCTGCAATTAGTGTTTAATAAGAGGTTGCGATGGAAATACATTTAATTTATTAAAATACGCCATTAAGAAATTAAATAATAGCTATCTGAAAATCTCTCTCTTTCCCTTCTTAAATCAATTACGCTGAGTTATTTTCTGCAGCAAATAATTAAAAGCTTTTACTAATTGAATTTATTGACTGAGGTGAAAACTTCGTATTCTACGTAGCCAAAGATAAAGGACTTTGTTTAACGAAGGTGAAACAGTTCAGAATGAGAGAATTAAATTCAATGAGATTAATTATGCATGGAGCTTTGCGCGCAGGTTCAAAAGGGGTGCATTCATAGCAATTTCACAACTCTAGTTTGTTCAAAATCTTACGTTCTCCTCATGGAAGAAAGTGGGTGTTTCCTAAAAGTTAGAATGCCTGACAATGTTTCTGCCCTATAGAACTGCTTATTCTACTATATTATCTGCTGCGTATTCTCAATTAAGTAACGACCTTTTTGACTCACTTCTTAGGAAATTACAGAGAGTTTTTACACATTTTAGAAAGATTTCGGGGCCGTTTAATTGATCGTTGAAATGTAAAGAATGTTTTTTAAATGTTCGGTCTGATAACTTTTTTTACGGACTATAAAACCGCATCGTAATTTCTAGGATAAAAGTAAAATTTCCTTTCTTAAATTTCCAGATGTATCGACTTTTATTCCTCTTTTTATTCCTTTCCAGCGGCCATTTATCGTGGTGGGTCTGCGCTTAGAAAGTACTGTTTTCCAGAGACCAAAGACATTTAGAGTCCATAGGTGAAAAGCCAGGTGACTTTGCAGGAATACGTTGAAAAGGTACATATGCAGTATCTGCATCAATCTTCTTTTTGTCAAGGAAAGAGTGGTACTTTTCTAAGCATAACTTGTTGCTTTGTCTTAATCAAGTTTCACTCTTTGATAGTCATCGGGGTAAAGAAATGAAATTTCTTTCGCAAATATTGATCGTAACATTTTTCCTTGATTGACGTTGATTTTTACTATTTTTTTGCAGTCTTCTTATTTTCAGTCTTCCATTGATGAGAATCCTGCGACAAGCATAAACCCCTTACAGAAATTTTCTTTGCATCGACGGAACCAGGTTTGTACTTTTTTTTTTGTTTTTTTTTTTTGTTTTTTTTGTTTTGTTTTTCTTTGTTCTTTGTTTTCGTTAATAAGTAGTCGATAATAAGTAGCAAGTAAAATCCTTGTTGTCATATAGTTAATCCCATGTTTCGTCAACGGTCACAATATATTTCCATTTATCTCTTGAGAAATAATATTTATACAGAGTTCTGAAAATTGTTGTGCGTTGAGCCACATGCCTCGGAAAAATCTAAAGTTTAGTTTTTTTAAGTTGTAAATCTTGGTTTATTATTTTATTTATTGTTACTACTGATGTTTTTAAAGACTTAAGTTGATTTTTTAGTCGGTGGATCATCTATTTTAACAACAATTTAACTTTAGAGACATTAGAAACAGTACGTATCTTTTACGGGTATACGTTTGGAATCTTCTTCCCCTGTAGAAATAATGACTTGCGGTTTTTCGCTTTCCGATTAAAAATGTTGCTTATTTTGCACTTAGAATTTTAATAAGATGCAGTTCATAACTTTATTGAATTATGAAATAGTATATCTCTCTTGGGAAAGCGAAAGAACATATCCTTGCATCCACAATTAATTTACGTGCGACATTTAGAAAGAAGAATGAATTTAAAAGTAGCAGACGATATTTCTCCTTTCAAATAATAAGAAATTGGCAGGAAATTTTTATTTCAAAGCATTTTCTTTTTTAATTCTTTATCGAAATCAATGTAAAAATGTGCAAACACCCTCTGTCATTTAAACAACGTGATACGATACAGCAACATATCACGAAGACATATAATCAGTATTAGACTATCTAATGCTGTCAGAAAATTTTCACAAAAAGCATAACTTAAGGTAAATTACACACGCGAGTGTAAAACTGCATGTCGGGAAAAATGATTAAATTTAAAATATAAATAAAGAAATAATTTTTATTAATTTTAAAATGTATGAAAGGAAAGAAATATGTCTGTAAGAAGTTTATGGTGAACCTTTTCGTGGTGACCCTTTCTGAAGGTGTATTTCAAAAACCGTAAATAAATACCAATACTGATTATTGCTTCTTTTCAAGCAACAACTTCCACAGAAGACCTAAATTATCATCTGTAACTGTGGCTGATCATTTTGTAGAAGATTCATTGTACAAGAATCAAGAAAATCTTTTAGTGCTGACTATACCCCTAAAATGACAATCTCTGAAAGTGACTAGATTTATTAGAGCATAAATAAATATCAGTAATAAAAAATAAGTACATTCCAATTATAAATCATTAACTATTTTCAATGGTCTCATACTCAAATTGCAATACAGGATACAGGATCTAAAATACAGGATCTAAAAACAAACGATGGACCAGAATTTTTTTTTTTAATAAAATGAAAACTTTAGTATAAAAATAAAAAATATTTTAAATAAATTTTAACTACTTGTTAAACTTACTAAATATTCGTCAAATTATACATAAATAACACTAATAACATCGCATAAGAAAAAAATTCAAATTTATATTTATTTGCTATTTGTTACTTGCAAGGCATTTCTGTTGATTACATTTTGTAATTCAGATGTATTGAAAGCTAAATATTAAATTCTTAGAATAACATCTCTTTCAAACAATTCTTACATGTTTAATTAATCATTAAATAACTCACTTTTATTTAAACTAAAAATTAAACAAATTACAAAACTTTCTAAGTTTTCAGAGAAAATTTACCAAGTACAAAACTTGAGAATAAATGAGCACTTAGTCTCTTTCTTTTATTTATGAAATTTTTCTTCGAAGCATAAATAAAATTACAAATATTTATATGCAAATAATTATAAACTTTTTTATTTCTTACTAAAGCTTGACACTTGATGGTATTTTTATTCCCAAATAAAGCGTAATAATTATTCGTTGTTGATAATTGAGCTTATTTATTTTTTGACATGTACGAATAGAATTAATGAAATCTGTCTTTTTAAATGCTTGATGTAAACGATTTTAAATGTAAAGATTTAAATCACTCTGTAAATTCATTACCACCATTTGTAGATTTTCTAGTGGTTATTCATGTTCGTTTTTAATGGAAGATGTCAATTCGGACTTCAAATAACTAAAATCTCGAATTCTTTGCAGCAAATCACATATTTACAACAAATATATTGTTGTTAGAAATTTCATTTGTCTGACAATGGTCAAAGCGTGCCCACCACATTCAGCGTGACAAGGAGACAAATGCGCCTGTCGATGGCAAAGAGCCTTGGGCACCATATAGGTGACAGGCCGAGCTTTAGCACAGTTCCATCCCCCCCCCCCAATTTAAAGAGAGAGAGCACCCATGAAGGAAGGAGGTGAACGGCTTTTTCTCCTATAATTATATTTATTTTTTTATAAGCAGTACCAAATTTTCCTAAATATAGGTATAGGGACCGGAGGAATATGTAAAAAGTTAGATATATCTTATAAGATAGTTAAAAGTTAGATATATCAAAATATTCAAAATCATGAATCTTTGCGCCATTTAAAACATTTTTGTGATTCGAAGTTTATGTATACGAGCAATGATTGAGAAACTAAAGGATGGTATTATATTAAGACCAATGATTGAGAAAATAAAGGATGCTATTAAAATCAAGCCCGAAAAATAAAGACCGTGAGAAAATAAAAGCCGGGCATTATATTCAGTTCAAATAGTTGAGGAAATGAAGGCAGGGCGTTAAATTGAGGCCAATGATTGAGAAACTAAAGGATGGTATTATATTAAGACCAGTGGTTGAGAATATGAATGATGGTATTCAGGCCCGGACTTAGAGACCCAGGATCCCTAGGCACTTGACATTTGGGCCCCCCAACATCTCGAAGCTATTTTGGAAATTTATCAAATTAAATGCACTAGTATAGAACATATAATTTTTAATCGACTTTGATGACTTTAACAAACATCAGAATTCAGAATAATACAGTCTATTTTACTATAGTTACATTATTCTATAAAATTTATAGAATCATAGAATCTTTCTTCTGTGCAAAAGAACAAGAAAGAGTCCTAATTCTAGCTTTGTTGAGCGCAGGGCTGTAAGTTATATTATGAGCGCCCTGTTTTGGCAAAGTGTAGTAAAAATATTTAATGTAATATTATTTTCGATAAAGCTGTTTGATAATGCAAGCCAGGTTTTTGAGCTTATGTAAAGATTCCGCCACCGGGCCTTGTAGGCCTAGGCAGAAATCCGACACTGATAATATGATATTAAGACCAATGGATGAGAAAATAAAGGCCGGGTATTATATTCAGACCCAATGGTTGAGGAAATAAAGGCCGGGTATTAAATTGCGGCAAATGGTTGAGAAAACAAAGACTGAGTATTATACTGAGAAACTTGTTGAGAAAATAAAGGCTGGGTATTATACTGAGACCCAATGATTAAGAAAATAAAAGCCAGTTATTGTATTGAAACCAATGGCTGACAAAATAAAGGCCGGGTATTAATGTACTTTGCTAATTAAAAAGTTTTTTTTAAAATACGTTTAACAAAAAGAAAAAAAAAATATTGCATTTGCATTACAGTAAAATGTATAAGGAAACAAATATTCTCGTTTTACGAATATCCCGATGGATTTTGGTCCTATTTTGTTTGGATATTTATTGTGTCACTTGTTTAAATGTTTCCATTTCTTTCGGGCTTCGCAATTCCTTTACGTGTGTTTTGCATGCTGTTTGCAATGTACTTTTTCCCAAGAGGATATTGAGAATGACGGCTTTGTACAGGAACGGTCGAAGGAGGGTTATAATCAAATATTAATTTCCCTGCAAGATAACGTTATCTCTTCCCGCGCGCATAGAATGAAAAAAGCATTCCCGTAGCTCCAAGCACCTGTAGTTTAAAATATTCCTCCCAACGATGAAGTCACTGCATATTTTAACCCAGAGGCAAATGTTGTTCAAAAATCAGATATCTTTATTGATAAATATGTTCAAAATTGCCATGTATTCGACTGTGTTCGGATTGCATTGTCGTGCAGACAAAAATCCAGGTAAATTATATTCTTTTATTTTAAAAAATTGAGCTTAATAATTCATAATAAGCGCTAGTATTTTGGCGCATTTACGAATGTTAGAACTTTGAAGAATTGAATGTATAAGAATCTATGCAGAAATAAATCTAAATTGATCAGCTACATTTCGTATCCTTTCGGAGTTCCTTGAAGATGATTGCTTGAAACAGGTGATAGGCAGTACCGATGTTTATCTGCATTTTCAAGATACTGGTCACTTTCGAGGCAGTCATATGAAGATTTTGTCGCTATGAAGTGACCAGAAGTCAAAATGTTAATGTATTCTTACTATAACGAAATATTTACAAATGTAATCAGAGAAAGAATTGCTAAAAACATGTATTATAATAGGTAAGTATTATCATTACATTGTATTATCCTAATAGGGTATTATTGCCAATCATTTTTTAAATGATAATAGCCGTTGAAAATTACAATGATACTTGGTGATTATGGCAGGTTTCATTGTAGTTGTGTCCCTAGTTAATCGCGAGAGCAGTAGAAGCGAATGTTAAATTTAGATCATAGGAAGCTGGGGGCCGACGCTTACAGTCAACAAAAGATTGTTATTTTTTCAATAGTGTTATTAGTCTCGAAGCACGATTTTGCGTTAATTCACTCAAATGCGTTGTTTCCATTTTCATTCTGTTGTCATTCAGAAAATGCAAAATATGTAACTTTCAAATTGAATCTGTCTGCGATTTATTAACAAACTGAGCTATTTAAAAGCAATTATCAGGTCTTAAGAATACTTTTTAAATTCCTAGTATTAGCTCACACTCCTTATTCAAATTTTCAGTCGTTAATAAAATAAATTTTATTCATCCACTCAAGTTCAAATACATTTTTTTAAACTTGTAGGTGATGACACTTGATGTTAATACATATTAAAGTCAATTCCTACTTATTGACTCCTGTTTATCCGAATTAAAGATATGCTGTTTTTTTAATATATTATAAGACTTACAAATGATGACCGTTTATTAGGAATTCTCACGTGCTGTAAAAATTAGTTTTATAACAACTTATAAATAATAGTACATGACTGTGACAAATGGGATTGTAATATTTAACAAAAATAAGTGGAAACAGTAAGACAGAGTTCTAAAGATTTTTAAAGTGCATGGAATTAAAGACTGGTAGTTTTACAGAGTTGGATGAAGCGGATGTAATGTCCCATTATGTAGCAAAAATTCTCCCCATATTTCTATGTTAACGTGATAATAATATATGTTTAAAATATAACCCTTTAAAATGCCCCTTGCTTCACAAACTGAGAATGCGAAAAGGAACTACAACATAACGCAAGCGACGATTAGAGAAAGAAAAACATAAGCGCCAAGAAAAGCTTGCAAATGAAACAAAAGAAGAAAAGTAAATTAGTAATGTTTCTTTGTTGATCTAAGTAGGAATTGACTTCAAAAAAATTTTTTTATATTACTTGTTTCTTCTTAATCTGATGGATTTAATAAAAATGTATTTAATTTGTGATAACTCTAATTAAAAAAGCTCAATATTTTTATAGAATGACATTATATATTTTTTCACTTATCAAACAGACAAAAGTTATGTAACGTTTTCTTATTAGTCTAAATGCATATTCGTATAATATCCTATAAAATGTTTCGATATTCCACCCGGGCCATTCCTATCGATAATCACTGCTCATAAACCATATTAAACTTAGAAAGATGTCTTTTGAGTGACCGTTAACATCTAAACCCTTTCAGATGTTAAAAGAAAAAAAATGTTATTATTAACTGTAGACTTCCTAACATACGCTATTTTCGAAATTTTTTTATTCATGTAGAATATACAGATACACAAAATGTGAATCCACAGTTCATGTGAAAATTTCTGATAGGCTAATGCTGAAAATTAATTTTTCTGCATTAATTTTGCTTCACACGAGTGTTCATTTTTTTTTTTTTTAATTATTTTTTCTTTAAACTTAGGTTACATTTTAATTATAAAATGATTTTACGACAAAATGATATTTCGAAACATCTAAACGAAATGTGAATCTTTTATGTATGTAATCTTACATTTGGTCTCGGTTTTTATTTGCAAAATTATTTACAAAAGATAATTTAAAGAAATGTAAATAATACAGTGAATCTTCTCTAAGAAGATCACCCAAGATTATAGTGAAATGATGATTATTATCTGGACGTACGATACCGATAGTTATTTATGTTCTCAAAACTAATGGTGTTTAAAAGGGGGTTGTCCTGGGGTGATGGGAGTCTCTGAATCTTGAAATAATTCGTTTAATTATTCCTCGAATTATTCCTTAACGTTGGCTAGACCAAACACTTTATGAGATCTGAGTTTTCGACAAGGATGTATTATGAACGCATTTCCAAACAAAGCAACTGTTTTTAACTCAAAAATTCGTATCTGAGCTTATTTATTTTTTCATTAGGAATAAAAATTAATCAAATCTGTATCTTCAAATCTTTGAACGAGATTTAAGCTCACTACAAATTAACTAACTCCATTTATAGATTTTCTGATACATTATTCATGTTCGGTTTTAATGGTAATGAGAATATTGCAAACTAAGACTTCAAATAACTAAAATCTTGAAATATTTGCAACAAATGCATAACTGAAATGTATTCGAAGCCGTATAAAATTACTCCGGGGACTGCCAGTTTGAGACCACTGACCTATAAGTTTCCAGATGATTTTGCTCTGCTGTGGATGCGATTCTGGAAGTATCTGGAAATCTTACAGAGCTGATAAATGATACTGATATTTATTTAAGTTCTAAAAAATAATGGCGTTAGGTCGTCTTAGAGAATGGTCACCACTAGAAAGCTCAGTGAATCTTCAAATGATTCGTTTTATTATTCCTCGAATTATTCTTTATAAGACTCATGTTTTAACCAGAATCTTAAACTAAACCCTATATGTACAGACCCTATATGTAACCCTATATGTTAACTGTCGTAAATGTAGCTGTAAAGAATTAAGTCTCGACACATAAGTGTCGAGACTTAAAATAATTACTGCCTGCCTTTTAATTAAAATATAAAAAAGAGCTTTTTTAAATAAAAAGAAGGATTTCTGAATACTCTTTAAAAATTTAGAGGTTAATAAAAAAGTCCGAAATTCGTGTACCGTCAGCAATTAAGTAAGCAAAGAGAAGCATGAATTTTTCCATTATACTTGCAGTTGATATTGGTCTTTTGTGGAGGAGATAGTTTTAGAAAAGTGATGTTCAATACCGATGTTTATTCATAATCTCAGAAATTATAGAGGTAAGAAGAAGTCTAGATTTTCCCGAATCAGAAGATTAAAAGTTTCTCAAATCTATCCAATTACTTTTGATATTATTAGTCCAAAAGGAGCTATTGTTCTGAGATTTTACATTTGTTTACTATGAACGGCATATCACTTATCAAATTGTTGCCCCGAAATATTATCGCCCTGTATTATATTTAAAAAATTAAATAATTAAGAATCTCCATGAATTTATGCATGTTCTTCGCATTGGGAAAAAACAACGGTACCTAGAGCCATGGTATTTTGAATAACGTAGTCCTGCACCCGAACATGGGCATTTGAAAGCCCGAATTTTGAATTTCGAATTAGTGTTACTATATATTTCATATTTTATAAAACTTTAACGAATTTTTGATTAACAAATATTATTATTAGTAGTAGTAGTACTATTGTTGTTGTTATTTCTCCCTCCCGGGATTAAAAACAAATTGTTTGTTTAGAATCGACAGCATTAACACAGCGGTATGATTAATTTGCTATTTACTTTCGCTTTTAATTTCATGCGGTAGATTTGCAATTAGTAGCGACCTGTTTCAAATAATTAGGATATAATAAGAAAAGAAGTGGGGGAAAACTTTACTGAATATTTTAATACAGTTTAAAATCTGTATTTAACGAGAACCGGATTAAAGATATATTTTTTTAAAGAATAGATTAACATTTGTTAACAAGAACCAAATAAAAGTTAATAAATGCAATACAAAATTAAAGTACTTAAATATTAAATTTCACTTGTTTAATACACTAAAGCAGGCGTGCCAAACTCAACAACTTAAGAAGGCCAGATAGTTACAATTTTACATTAATGAAGGCCAAAAGGAGGAAAAGCCACTTTTATATATAAAGCATGCATTAAAAGGTCAGTGAACGCACAAAATCTTATCTAACGTAGTTCTCTTCATAAAATTAGAAGAACAGAAGGAAACCCTGGCAGAAGAAACCTATTGTTTGTTTCTTGATAGTTGGAATCTTTCCCTGCAATTAGTTTTCAAGTATGTCTGGAGATACCAGCGATTTTCAGAAATCAAATGAATGTTAATTTGGTAACCGTTTCTTTGAGGATTTGTTGTTTTTCCTGCATAAGATAGGCTGTTCATACTGACTTACTACTAATAATAATGGTGAAAAATCTGCGACTTTCTGAGAACCACGCAGGGATGTATTTGTAAAATTCGGGAATATGCACTGCACTAAATTTTTGCTTTGGAGTCGCATTAAGTTTCCACTACTTCCTTCTATAAATGGATTGGAACTTCCTCAACGCAAACTGAGAAATTATTCTTGGAAAGAGACCATCGCAAGAGCCCTTTTTAAGTACCCGAGGTCCTTTTTAAGTAACCGATATACACGTCAATATAGCACAGAATTGTTGGATTTTTTTTTTTTTTTTTTTTTTTTTTGTGTGTGTGTGTGTGTGTGTGTGTGTGTGTGTGTGAGGGGGTGAATTTTCTGTTACGTGCGCAAGGGTTGTTGTTTGAATGCACACAGAACCGATGACAGCTTGGTGAAATTTATTTTTCCTAAAGAAAATCTTTACAGTTTGGGAACTTTTCACAAAAGTACTCGTGCAGCTCTTCCCAATATGACAAAGCATAGTCAGTAGTTACCACTTCAAACTACTAAGAATGTTGAACACAACACAATAAAAAAAGCATCAAAGCTCGCACAGTGATTTCTTAGTACCCTCA